CGGCGCGGTTCTGCAGGTCCAGGCGGCACACGCCTGGCGGGCGACGCACCGCGCGGGGGAAGGATTCGGCCCCGCGATGAATTGGCCGGAGGGATTGGGAAGCAAAGAGGGAGTTTTAAAACGTGTGGCACCTTACATTCCCAGAAACGGGATTTCCACAACTGTACAGGACTGAGATTTATCTATGTTAAAGGTCTAGACTTGCAGGCACAGTATTAAAGAGCCCCTGGTGCTACGCGTTGCTACGGTTAATTGCAATTGCTGAGGTCAACTCAATTACTTTTGAAGACAGTAACCAAAAAAAACAAAAAGGGGGATAATTAACGCCTTGGGCGCAGGCCAGTTGAGGAGCTGTGGGCTGTTTGCTTCTGCTCCTGCAGCAAGGGAGCGGCAGAAAGACATCCGTCACCCAACGGGCTGTGTAAAGCCGACCCGGCCCCATTTTGCTCGCTTTTCACCTCAAAGAGCCCATTTCCAATTCCACCACGACAAACAAGCCGAGTCCAGTGGGCGAGGGCTTGGATCCAGCCTTGCCCCGGGACCCGGCCACCTCAGGCACGTGGTGGCAGGAGGGGACAAACGGCCACGGCTCCCTGCGCGTCTGCGGCAACAATCGGGTTATAGATGTGTATGATAATCTGCCATTTCCCTAACATTTAACAGATTGTCTGGCCCAGGAGAAAAGGCCAAAGTGCCTTTTTTATTTCTGAGCACGTGTGCATTTTCCCCCGTACAAGCTCAGCTGCGATTTTTCCTTCTTTGCAACACGAGCTGAAAGTTCAATAGTTTAAAATGGAGTTTTTCTGTGGTGCTGGGGGGTTTGTTACGCTCTCGGGAGCCTGATCCTCCGGCTCCGAGAGATGATGTGGCACTTGCTGCTAGAAAAAGCTGGGGGAGCCACTCCATCCCACCTGGACTGGGGCTATGAGAGACACACCTTGGCCGCAGGGACCCTGAGCCATCCCCAGTCAGATTGCAAAGCCCTCAAGTTGTATCAGGGCCATAAGGGCACTAATGAGCCTTGATGTCCCCGAGGAACCTCAGCTGGGACCCACACCCATGACCAAGCTATGGGGAGGATGCTGGTCTTCAGATCAACCATATCTCCTGGGCGGACCTTGGCCCCATGCTTGTCGACTGGATGGCTCCCTTGCAGATAGGTTGTAGTTGGTCCCCAGTCCCACCTCCATCCCGTCTCCTTTTGCTCCTGACTGAACTTCCTGGGAGGACCCTGGACCTCATTCACTGTTTGCCATGTCTGGGACTGTTGATGGATCCTCGCTGCCTGGCTCTTCCCGCCATGATCATCCCCTATGGGACCATGCCCCACGGGCAAGACTGACATAAAGTCACTCCCACACCCATACCCAACAAAAGCCATGGCTGAGCAGAGTTCCTACCTGTGTCTAGCAGGAGCTTTGCAATCAGGAAGTTGGAGTGGGAAACGCTGTAGTGAAGAGCTGTGTTGCCGTTCCTGTCGGCCAGGTTCACCACCATCGCCAGGAGCTGGGGCTGGATGGCCCCCAGCGCCTTGAGATACACTGCAACCACCTCTGGGCTGGAAGACTTGCGGCTTGACACCCGGAACCACTCCTGGCAGACTGTGCTCAGGACGTGCCGCTGAAAACACCAAGGTCTCACCGTTACTCCTGGGTTAGTCATCCTGCAAACCGGTCGCTGCCCCGGCTCCTCGCCCCACACCATTTCGTCCTGTGTTCTGGCATCCCCCAGCCGGTATTTAGCTTGTGGTTTTGGGATTGCTTCTATAACTTAACGGGGAAAGGAATTTCCTGTGGTAACTTGAATGAGTAAGCAGAGAAAGCCTTCATCTTTTTTTTTTTTTCCCCTTTTCCTTTCTTTTTGGCTATTCTAAAACTGACTCGGGGGTCATCTCAGCCCCCTCTCCTCGCAAAGCTGTCCCTGGCATAGTGAGGCACGGGCCGCAACGCGCTGTCAGGATAATCTTATCCGCTAAATGTAACAGGGAGTGGGAACCACATCTGAAATGGGATTGAAAAGTATCTGTACCAAATGCTTGTCGCTTGTGGTCCTGATTTCTGAGAGGTGCTTGCTGAGTAGCTGGCAGTCAGCAAGGAAATCTTCAGAGGGTTTGCATCTAAAAGGAAAATACTTTTGTAAATCCATCATGAGACAGAACTTGCAGGAGGTTTTGAAGCAGGAAGGAGAACATGTACTCTAGGTCGGGATACATTCAACGCTTATTCAAGTGCTTAACTTTATGGACACAAGTTGTCCCATTGACTTGACACAGATTTTAGGTACAAAGTTAAGCACTTAGATAAGTGTTTAAGTCCAGCATCCCATATCTGTATGGTCAACTTCATCTGTTACAAGAAAGTGGGGAAAAAAAATCTTATTCCTGAATCTGCAAAGAACCTTACTGAGAATCTTTACATGAGAGGGGAGAAATGAGCTAATTCTCACCAAATGTGACTCACCCCATCTTTTCCACAGTCAAGCGGAGGACCTGAATTAATCCCCATTAGATTCTGTACTAACTCAAAAAATATTTAGTTCTTTAAAGCCTTTTCCCATGGCTACAGAGGTCAGCAGCTGCCTTTCCACCGAGCAGATGAAGCCCTGGCCCCAGCCCTGTAGGAGCAACTGAATGCAAGCGCCATGCATCCTACGGCTGCAGAAACGCGATGGAAAGCACGATTACTGTCTGGTTTTCTGGTTACCTGTCAGCCTTGTGCTGAGTCCAAGCTGCTGCTTCTGCCGATGACTCCTGCAGGTCATTGTCCTCACGTCTCTCCTGTGAGGAGGTCCCCGACAAAGCCCCCTCACTTTCACCTCCAGCTCTTCCTTGCGTGGTCTCCAAATCATCAGCTCTTCTCTCCGTCTCGCTCTCCACATCCCCATCCGATGAGCTGTCTTCGCAACTTGTGTCTTCGCTTGAAGTCGTTTCATAGCTATTTGAGGATACCACATGTTATTCACTCCTTCCCCAGCCACAGCCGCAGGGCCTGCCCAAGGCTCATTGAAGACACCCACTGACTCCAGTGGGCCTCGGATGAAGCCGAGAGTGATACACAAGTTAGAAGGTTAGAGCCACAGCCAAACCTGGGGTTAGTCTTTGCCTTCTTAAGCCAGCAAGGGCGTGACAGAAGCAGTTAATTAGCAGCAGGCAAGGTTACTTCAGGGACTACTCGGTTGGTTTGGAGGGATGTCCATCGCACAAGCCCCAGCATGGCCAGGCAAGGGCTGTGTGCCGCCTCCCTGCTGGGGGCTGCTGGCACACAGATGGGGAGAAATATGGACCCCATGGCTAGGTGGGACAGGCAGCATTTTGACAACCTTGAGGACCACTAGACAAAAGCTGCATTTGCAGCTCCACCATGGAACTGAGTCCACCACTTGAGCAGCCCTGCTAGAGAGATCTCTCTTCTGGTTGTCCAAAAGTATTAATAACAATGACATCTTCCATGAGACAGAATGTTTCACTCCGAGGGATCCCAAAATTTTCTCAAACTAGTCGAGATTCCTCTACTTGCTACAAGTTGTACCCACTTCAGCAACTGTTGGTAGAAGCGCTACACAACAAGAGTAACACCTGATGAACCCAACAGCAGTAGCCATCGAGCTGGGAAGTTGGAGAAGCGTATGTCAGCAGAAACCAGCACACATAGCTGTTTGCACAGTGAAGGGACAGTGAAATGTGTCCTGCCCTCGTCATGCCAACACACATACTCCTTGGTAGAAGATGTGCCAGTACTGCTCTCAGAGATGCATCTCCAGCATTGGTGTATCTAGTTAGCTCAAAGGCCAAAGAGCATTAGATATTGGATATGCAGGGAACTGAGTTGTTGGAGCACAACCTAAAATACAGGTCTCCTTCACCCCAAGGTAATTCCTCATTTACTGAAATAGTCCTTTCTCAGTCCCTGAACCAACTTTTGTTGGCTATCGCTGGAGCATGGAGGCAGGTTAGTGGCAGCGTGCTCACCCAAGCAATGCTGACCTCCTCCAAAACCCACCAAAGCTAGTGGGAATCCTCCCACAGACCCAGCTGGGTTTTGGATGGAGCTCCACAAGAGGGGTGTGCAGAGATTGTCAGTCCCCAGGGTGTCCCTTGCTGCTCTGAAAACACCAACATCTTTTCTACAGGGTTACTTACAAGTTATAAGTGCTGGATTAAAGAAGGGAGAAAAGAGGCTCCATTTCAAATGGCCTTTTAATCAAGAGGTTTGGAAGGGAAAAGAGGGGAAAAGACGAATGACTTCTTCAGCAATACAGAGGACATTACATGTTAAAAGGAAGTTTTATCTTCTGAACGGATGCTTACCCACCATTTACCCCAACAAACTGAAGATTCTTTTTGGTCCCATTGCCCCCTGCATGGAAACCATAACCCTTCTTTTTCATGATAGACTTAAGACTTGTGGTTGGAGAGATTTCTAGCAAAATACAAAATAAGAGATTAATTAAGCAGATGTGCCATAATTATCAATGATTATTCCCAACCTCTAGCAACAAACTACCAACTGTAACCATAAGCATCTTTCTTACTTCATCTTAGGAGATGCTTTTTCAGTTTTGCAGAACTACTGATGCACCTGGCCACAACCTGAACCTGCCCTGCCACCTTTAAAATACGGGTCTCAAACATCTCCAAGTGACTCAGAATATAAAGGAATTGACTGGGAGTTATATACGTGTCCTATGAATATAAGTAGGTTTTACTTTTGTAATAAAGTTTTCCTTTTTATTTTTTTCAATACTAATGTATTGGAAATCTCCTATATAAATCTCCTATAACACTACATGGAGGAGTCCATCGGAGTTTGAATAGTCTCACTATGTATTGCTTATAAGTAACAGGTCACCTATCTATTTGCAAGCCCCTCCTTGACAGTGAACAGGCCCTTCGGTTTTGGATTCTTATCTTCATATAAGCTAAAATTATTTGAGATGAACGGCTGTGAGTGGGGACAGGTCTTTTCCCAGCCTAGTTGCTAGTTCAAACCTAGCCTGAACTGGTTTTGGTTCTGGTGACCTCCATGCTGATTTACCCCAGATGAGCATGAGTCCCGTATTCTTGCAAATTGAGATGTCCAACCCAGTAAAGAAAAATGTTTTTTTATTGGAATAGCCACAAGTACGGCCACTTTTGGAAGCTGATCCTGCATATAACTGAGCCACAGCTTTATCAGCTCCTACACCGTTTTGTTAGCTTTTTTCATTTAAGATCACATAGCTTACGATGCGCAGATTTGCCTTTCTCATTCGTGTTTCGGAGGGGCTATTTCTGATCTGAATGACTGTAATTAAACCACCGCATCACCCCGGCTCAACACTTGAATAATGGGAAGAGATTTGGCCCGGACACCTTGAAACCTATGCCAATATTATTTACCCAACTGTTGATAATGTGTGTTCGAATTCTCCTTATCTGTGGGCCCTTGTGTAGAGTAGGCAGACAGCAATGAGTTTAAGGAATTAACTAATTGGTTCTGAATGGAGCTGAGCTTGGAGGCCGGCTGTTTAATGGCGCTCGCTAACTCAGGGTAGCCGTGCTCCAAACACAGCCACTGCTCCTGCAAAAGCTCCTGGATTTTTTTCACGTATTGGCTGATGGGGTCAACAGCAGGCAGATCCTCGCGGTCAGGGGGACCTTCCTCTTCCAGCCCATCTCGAGGTTTATCTTGGCCAAAGCCTGCCTTGTTTTCTCCTGTGTTTGAGCCAATTCTTGTTTCTTGATAGCTTTCTGCAGTCACTGCGTGAGCAGCGAGGCTCTGGGTGTTGTAGTTGTTCCTGTGATTTTGATTGTCATCGCTGAGGTGCTCATCGATCTTCAGTTGGGTGAAGCATGGTGCGTGAAGACCAGCCTCAATGTTGGCTTCACCAAAATGTCCAGGTCCGGTGCAAGTGTCTGCCAGTCCCTGATCTCTCCGAGCACCCAGCTCCATCGCCTGCGCATTCGCATTGTCTGCTCTGTGGACGCTGCATCCTATGGATTTGGTGGAGACTGGGATATTTACATTGATGCCTTTATCATGGGCTCGCTTGGCCCCAGTTACCTGCGAGAGGTCGGTGTTCACCGCCGCATCGTAGCACTGCAAAGCCCCGCCGCTCTGCCTGGACGGCACCTTGGCCTCTTCAGTGTTTTCCCGGCACAGCTTCTCTTCCAGCTGAGCTTTGGAGCTGGCCAGTAACCTAATGCTTTTCTCCTTCTCCTTGATCTCATGATCCTGCTGCTCCAGCACTACTCTGATCTGCTCGAGCTCTTCTTTCTTCTTGCCCAGCTGCTCCTCCAGAGCAGCAATCTGCTGCTTCAGCGCGGCGACCCCACCGGGCTCTCCAGCATCACGAGGCTGAGGACCACAGCTCTCCTTGCTCTCTCCAGCCCGGACGCGCCCCTCCTCAGCTTTCTCCAGCACGTTCGGAGCGATTTCACTCACGCTTGGCTCCCTTTCCCCAGAGTTCGTGTTCTCCTCTG